CTGTCAAACTGACTCTCTCTCAGGCGTCAGAGGACATCAAACTGTTTCATACGCGCATAAGAACAGTCGCAGACAATCCTTCTATGATGGCTGATGCCGTGCAGATGGCTGAACTCCGGGTGTGTTACTTCTGAAAGGTTCACTGAGAGGGACTGATTTATTTTAAAAGACTCCTGAAATTTACTACGTAGCCAATAAATTACTATATCGAAGCTATTATCTTGTATATTTCATTCGGCTGCTCAGCGTATGCAGCTCCTTCGTCAGAAACTTGCCTTCATGATTGACGATTGCAGCACAATTCTGGGTGAGTTTTCCTGCACCGTCAATAAAAAGGACGAATCGACACTTTCAAGCCTCGTACAAAAGAATGACGAAGTCCTCAAATCCCTCGAGAAGTATGAACAGCTAATGCAGGATCTCCAGTGTTCGGATGCTGAGGTGGGTACAAGCTTTGACCTAGCTGTTTGAATTCAAACGAGTGTGTGGTGAGTACACTCAAATGCATTTTTGGAACCTCCGTGAATTTATGGGGCATTTTCTCCTCCACTTCTTTCATTTGAGTAGACGGTAGCTATAACGTAATGTCGGTTACAGTCGTATTTAGGTTAGACTGACAATGCAGTTGGGGTATGTTTAGGGTTAAATTCAGAGTTACGATTAGTTTTGGCTTCATTTCTTACGATTTGTTTAAGTACCTGAAATTATAAAACTAATTCTATTTCTCATCACCCAAGAGAGTTAACAGTTTAAGTCATTCAAAGAAATAATGTTAGAAGTCGCTGGAGTTCATCTAAAGAAGCATAGTATCGTCGGTTCGCTTTATCTTCTCACAACGCCTCTGCCAAGATCCAGTTGGCATTTTTTATGACTTTGTTAAGTGTCATTTCACAGCAGCCAGGCCGATTACGCTTGCAGAATGGTTTCAACTGACTGGATGTGATAAAATGAAGGATGTCGGTTCTCATCGAACGGACGGTTGGACGACTACTCAGTATATGTAGATATTAGGTACGAGTGTACTGTTAACAAAGAGCCATAGTCACCGTCGACGACGTGCAAAACGCTGAAAGTAGCATCGGCTTTACCCTATGGTATCGTCCTAACGCCGCCGCTCTACAAGAACATGGCTCTGGGATAGATCAAGCTGTACCACTATTTTAACCAAACAACCATAACTTGCAGGTCGGCAATGCCGCACGAAAAGCCTTTGCTTTCTTATCGACGTTAGTGGGTAGACTTACCCATGCGGTGTTCCCGATGAGCCGCTACACTAACCTTCATGGTTCATCGTTAGCTGTAAACTGACAGGGAGATATTGGTAACCAAGTGACGGCCGGTCGGGCGACGTCTAGTTTCCAATTCTATATAGTCAGTGTCACGCAAAGGGGAAGATGCCACATTTTCGAAATCAACATCTGTTGGGTGCATGCAGCAACAGCCGCACTCACAGCAGGCTAACGATCAGCCTACACGAAGCGAACGCATACAGCCGATCAAGCAATCCATAATCCAAAATGTAAACTGAGTCACAGCCAATCGTTCCGGTAGCCAAACCAGAATAGAAGCCTATTGGCTCGACGGACCTTACACTCGTTTGTTGACCTAAATATGTTTACCTTTTACCCTCAAAGACTTGTGCTGACTTGCTTAAAGTGGTTTTCTGAGTAAACGCACTCTCCCTCCGGCCGACTGCTCTTTTCTCTGTTTCTCTCGTACGGGCTCTTTGGTTCGACTTTCGTGTTAATTAGAAATACCAGGAGCCGGTCTTAACAACATCCACTTTGAGAATGTATCAATAAAGGGCAAGTAACAATTTGCAACCCCAATCGAACAACAAAGGATAGTTCAGCGTGCAGTATGGGACCAGTCTTAATAGAGGTTTCAATGCTGGCATAAAACTATTCAAAGCGTGACACAGCGGCAACCTAATGTCAAATGTTAATGTTAATGGTTCATTCGGCAGCAACCTTAACCAAAAGAACCAAAAGGACCGACAGGATCATAAACACTCCTACTTTTAAGTATTTGTAGATAGTTCAGAAGAGTAGGTGGGCAGTACCTTTGTCTCTGCAAGATTGGTGTCGAAACGCAGGTACCCACTGAGTGCCTTTAACGCCGTGGGATCCTTAGATTGTTTTAAAATTGCTAATATTTTCATCAAAGAATTCAGAAGAGCAATTTTAAAACAATCCAAGGATCCCACGGCGTTAAAGGCACTCAATGGGTACCTGCGTTTCGACACCAGTCATGTGAAGGCAAGGGTACTGGCCACCTACTCTTCTGAATTCTTTGAGGGGAATATTCGCAACTTTAAAACAATCCAAGGATCCCATGGTGTTCAAGCCATTCAATGGGTACCTGCGTTTCAATACCAAGCTTGTGGAGGCAAACGTACTGGCCACCTACTCTTCTGAATCCTCTCATGGGAATATTAGTAGATAATTGTAAGTAATATTTTGAGCGGGGCACTACATTGTATTCTTTCCAGAACGTTTGTTTCAGAAGACTCCAGGTGAAGTTAACACTTCAGACTCTGTAGCGTTGATCGTAGCTCGAACGTTTACTTATAGTTTTTATGTCAGGATTTTGTTTGTCATTTCGTATTTACGTATTTGACCCCTTTCAGTCTCGAGTAAGAAAGTCAGAGAAAATGTTAACAAGTCACCATTACATTGTTTTCAATCAAATCCCCTATTAGCAGCTGCAGTCCCAGCGGACGATGGGGCCAGCGGCAGGGCATGCAGTGACTGCCGGAGGCTCTTCGCAATCGTCATCGTCAGCAGTACCAGTAACAGCCTCCTTCACGAGCTCAACCTCCCTTCGACATTTACGGACTTCTGTCGCAAAGATTCTAGACGTACTTAAAGAACACCTCGAGCCGTTTCATGTACTGCTAACGAACATGGTAGGAGATCCTACCCATCGGGTTGATACAGCGTCTCAGACTGCTGATCTGAAGGTACGTCCTACTTCTGAGAGCACCGGCTCAGCTACCACAAGCATTCGGTAGCTGCCGTTGTGAAGCTACCTGTTTTTTTGTTTATGTACAATCATCTGCCATTGAAACTTTATTCATTGTGTTAAGAGCACGATGTTAATTGGATTGCTGTGCGTTCTGTAGGGCAATGTAGCCCACTTCCAAAATAGTAACTAGGCAAAAACCCATGCAGGGTTTTTCGCCGTGTGTACGGCGAAACTGGAATGCCGTCCGTTCAAAAGTTTCCACGAAGAAATTCCATTGTTTAAATGAATGTTTTGGAAATTTGGAGAGAAGAGGCAGGGTAAATGTCAAAAGTCGTGTTTTGGAATGCTCTACTCTGAGCTGCGGACACAGTGATAATCTCTTATGGCACAAAACTGACAAAAAGCATGTCTTAATTCAGAATAAGTAAATTTTCTTGTGAGAATATTACATGATTAGCCTATGTCTACGTTATCTGGCAACTTGTTATGCTAAGATATTTTGTAGTGCATGTTATAAATTTCTACTCAGTGATTGTGATTAATCATCATTTTTGAATTATAAAGACATGTACAAATGAACTGGACTGGACAATGATGAGCAACAGGGACGAAGAAATATTTTTTACGGTGGTTTTGCCACGCAATTTATCAGCGCATTAAAGCCTGCTATGAAAAATGGCAATTTTGGGAGATAGGTTCTAGGACGTAAAGTGCAAGTCTTGGTGGGCTAAGTTAGAAGTACAGCAGCCGGCATTAATCCACGGGCTCAAAGTGCCGACAGGACTCAATAACTTCTTCTAATAGTGTTCATCGCAGACAGATCTGTAGGTGTTTTTGGCACCAATAAAGATGGCCGAGGTCCTCAGCTATCCATAGTCCCAGAATTCTGCCTAACGGGAGCGGTGTTAAAGGGATTTGTATGATTAGGCTATATCATAGGAAAGAAAAAAATGCTTAAAAATTGGAGTGTATAAAAGCAGAAAATACTAGGAAATAATAATTTAAATAACCATATATATTTGTGCGCAATAAGTAAATGACAAATACAACCAATAGGAAACAAGAACTACGAAAAAGTACGTGTAAATAGGCCACACACCAATATCGATTTTACATGGAAATTAAGAAATTAAAATAAAGCCACGAAGGGTTACTTCTAAGGCATTTGGACGGATATTGCAGTACGATAATCAGAGTAGCAACCACATCGCTTAAGAAATTAAATTGAACTAAACCTTAAACTAACTAAAACGTGTAGACTTATAAAATAAACTGAAAACTAAACTAAAAGTAGTCACAGGAAGCTAAGTATTTCCGTGTTGTTGGGTGCAGTAATAGACATAACTACGCCTAATAAAATGCATATGGTATTTATTTAAGTATGGTTGTCCAACACTCGCGGGAAACTTAACAATTACCGGCGCTTCCTTTGCTTCTGCTTTTAGCGGGCATTTGTATATAGCGAGACACATTCAACATCTTGGGGCGAATGTCGAGGGACCAGCCA